GCTGATCAGTGTGTAACCCGGCCTCTCGACAGTCAAGTGAATCACTGCACCCTCAAGAAGATATTCTGATGTACCGCCGTGGTTATTTATGCTTATTCCAAAGAGCCATGCAAACAAAACCCAAGTGGGAAGCATTGTCCTCAGAAGACAGATTTGGTGGCGAGTGGCAAAGGGCTGAAGATTAAATCAATAGGAGCAGAGCGAGGGAGAAGTGGCGCCCATTTTTCACTGACTGGCACTTCCTAGTGTTGTTTATTCTGGCAAGATCGACACACAAACACACACACACAGATGCACACAGAGGAAGCTGTCAGCACGCACAACCAGCACACACACAGAAATCTATAATCAAGTGATTCATCCTGAATAATGTTATTCATGAGGAAACACTCCTAATGAGACCGAACATCCAACGGGGGCTCTGTAAACCTCTTGTGTGTTCGCTTTCTTTAGCGAGCATGTGTGCGTTAGTTGATCCGCCTACTGTACTGGTGTAGGAGGGATGTCTCGCACTGTGGATTTATGCCCATAGTGGTACAAGAGGAATTTATTATTGGAGCTCACTGCATGCCACCATGATTTTGCATGGTGGCACGTAATTAAATTTGTATATTATTACTTGTACTTAAAGCTTTTATTACGTCAAACCGAAATACTTAAATAGAAGGATGGCAAAGTGTGGCAGGGAAGCCAGCGGTGTTTACATAAAGCAGATATTCTACCAGCTTTTGGGGTCTTTTAGTGAAAAAGAGACAAGTGTGAGCAAGCGTCGTGTCAGTGATGGAATTATGACGAAGAGTCAAGCATCTGACTTCGTACATATTTGGCTACAACGCCTCTATAAATTTAATTTATTATCATTTATGCGAGGGATGTCCCAAGCTCGGTTTGGAGAACTGGACTGGGGCTGTTCACAGCAATCGTGGGAAGCTGAGCTCAATTCTTTGTTTATATCCGTAGTCACACATAAAACAAGCTGCAATAATGTCTGTTTTATGTGCCACTGGAGTATCTGAATGTTGCCCCAACTTGAGTTTGTTCACTGGCCAGAGGTCATTAAGCCTCAGAGAAGACTTTGTCATGGTGCTTCCTCAGCAGCTAAACTCCCACAATGTTCTCTGCTTTCCAACACAGAACTCCTCTTGTCGCTACAGAAGCAAACAGTAGCCAGGAACTACAGCTAATCCACAATACCTGAAGTGTGTGTTATCTAATGGCATCAGGTATTAACAGATACTGAATATTAAATTAAAATCAAATCAGGTTTATTCTCATTTTGCTGTACATACACAGCAGTACAGGCAAGATGAGAGAGTGTTTCTTCAGGATCCAATAACTTAAAGCAGTTTAAATAAACAAGTGTTTGCACATCTGGATCAGCAGTTCAGCATTCTGACAGCTTGTGACATGAAGCTGTTGATCAGTCTGGAGGTTCTTCCTTTAATGCTCCAGAAACGTTTCCCTGATGGCAGCAGTTCAAACAGTTTATGGAGAAGGTGTGAGGAGAACCTGATAATGTTCAGTGTCCTGCTCCTGCAGCGGCTCTGGAAAC